CGGTGTCATAGAGTTTGATATTGTTGAATAAACTTATCAGTTTATGCATTCATTACATATCATTTTTAATTGTTCATTAAAGAAATATTTTTGTTTAATATATTTATTTATTTATATCAAATGGCAGGCGTCTTGATGGTTATCGTTAGCCCTTTAGTTGACTTCAGGCTTCACAGAGGAGAGGAGGAACATCAAAATGGAAAAAAAGTCGAGAGGGGGGTTGGGAACAGAAGAGTGTTTCAAAGACAAAGGTAGGAAAAGGTGAGGTGAGTACTGTGGATATAGTCGAATATGGCATAGAGTGAGGTGATGGTAGTTAGAAGTGAGAAGTCAACTGCCAGTTAATAGACTTTTTTGCCTTATGAATATACCTTGCCCAGGGTGCACCACGTGGAGGTAAGTCTATCGCACACCCCCGATTAGGAATAAAGAGTGGGGGAATTATAATGCAATCGTCAATGTATTTTCCCCCCTTCAAAAGAGTATGATCTTAAGCAATTTACAATTCTCGAACTTAACAAAGTTCGTTCAGGGTGATAAAGGTATTCCAATTCATTTGTCTCGACTGTATCTAAGCCTAAAACCTGTTGAGAAATAAGAAGCATTGACCTCATGTTTTAATTCATTTGCCTATTCAAACAGCTACATGTATGACAGGTCATATCTGACAGAGTGTATCTGAAAACACACAATTTTACAACATCGATTTGTAAATTCTATACTCACCCTTCGTCTACGGATCTGTAGGTTGATATCAACAAATCGTTTTTCATTATATTCGATTAAAACTACGAACAGCAGCGTAATTTTTTTAATATTTCGTAAATTATTCAATAGGAATCTGGGCTAATTTTCCGAATTTCTGCTTTGTAGGTGAATCAATCCTTTCCTCTTGGTTCAGAACAGCCAATGATCGTCAAAAGAAGCTTCGAACCCTAGTTGAGGAGTACAACGAACTCGTTCTTGCTGTTAACCAAGGTCAAGAGACTGCGAAATCTTGAACCCCTACTATTCCGTCGTCTCAGATGTCGTAAAATCAAAACAATTGCATATGCAGCAGCACACTGAAGTTCAGAAATATTGTCTTTCTATCATGCTCCTCTTCCCTTTACTTTTGCACAAATAATTATTAACAAGATTTGTATTTATAATGTCTAATAAATTGTGAAAAAAGGTTAGGTAGTGAAGATATGGCTTAGAAACTCATATATTATCGAAAATCTTTTTTGGCCTTATGACAGATAAAATTTTCAAAGAAAGCTTGTAGCTAATTGCTTTTCTAACCAACTCATTACTGATACGCAAACTAGTGAGTCCTATTATCAACACTTTGAGTTGGGAATCGAGCTCGTAGTTGTCAATATTACTTTTATGAGGGGGGGGGGGGGCCGAAAAAAGCGCGAAATTTTAAGATGTCAGATATTTAAGTTGTACATACTTCTTGCTTCTGAATACTTTTACGCCTGCTTATTTTCATCGAATTTTGGTGAGCTGACACTTTACTTCAACCAGTATCTTGTTTTCCGATAACAATTTTATGACCCTGTCAGTAACTGGAATATCACATCCTCAATGATTTTATCTGCGGTAAAAAATTTTCAGTAACTTATGAGTAGCCATTTTATGAGTTGACAGCCTACCTACCCATTAGATATCACGCATAGGTATGACTCTTAGATGGCAGACTTCTCTATCCCGGCGGGTTTGCCCAGTGTATTTTAATCTACCGGACACTCATATCTTGTTTAAAATCGATCCCAACGTAAGTTCATATCTTTGCAAAACTCACCCTCCGAAACAAAGCATAAAGGTTGTTACATAGTTCATGAAGTTTCTAATCCACATGCGTTAACTACGAGTACTTAACTCTGGTAGAGAGCAGTAAAAAGAACTTTGCTTATTCAATTTCACTCTCTGAATCAGTTGGATACTTCTAAGGGCTAGACCTACAGTAGGCTCACTGAATGGAAATATTTACTAACGCTTAGTAGACCAAAATAATGACATTGCAAAGGTTTTTTTTTGCAAAAGTTACACTCTACTCTCTCCCTCTCTCTCTCTCGTCAAGTCCAAAATTAACCTATCTTTGCTAAATATTTCTTTAATTTTAAGAGAATAGGATATCTATTAATTAGTTTACGCATTGACTTCATATTGGATAAGATGTGTATAAATGTAAGCAAAATAGAAAAAGTCGGTCCAAGAGCCACTATATGCTACAATGGTATCTCCCACAGCATTGGGAAGATATGGGCTTCACGACAAACTAACCTCCCATTGGCCGCGTTTTTTTCCATGTAGCGCGGGGATTATCAAGCGCCGCCTTCTGGCTGACAAGTTGATTAACCTAATTTAACCCCCCCCCCCAAGTAGCTGCATGTCTAATGCCATTCAGCGCCATCAGACACCAGTGATTTGAGAGGTGTTTGCCTGTCCATATTCATTGAACACTGCCAAATCTCTGTCATGTCGTTTCACAAAGACGGCTGAATGATAATGATGGGAAATCATAACTCCAACCTATATGACCGTAGAATGACGCCTTTATGTCTAGCTACTATATTTACAGTAAATACAATCCACCATCTAATTCTTATTTCAATAACCCTGTGACTTTAATGCTAGATTTCTTTCATTTTGAATTTGTATTTATCTTATTTCAGAAAACAGAAATTCTGAAGGCAGGATGAGCAAATGACGGCTCATGAGGACAATTTTTCTCAAATATTTATAATAGTTAGGTTAATTGTGATCGCATATTACTATGGAGATTATCGATTTCATCCCTTGAAATATTCATTCATCATTCATTTCAAATGGCAGGCATTTTGATAGTTATCATTAGCCCCTTAGCTTATTTCGGGCTTCACAGGGGAGGGAACATCAAAGTAACAGGAAGTCGAGGGGCGGGGAACAGAAGAGTGATTTACAGTTGTAAAAGAGACAGACAAAGGTAGAAAAAAGGTGAGGTGAGTACTGTGAAAGTAGTCGAATATGACATATAGTGGGGTGATGGTGGTTTGAATTCAGAAGTCAACTGTCAGTTAATAGACTT